TCCATCAGAATTAAAATTAATCGTAGACCCTTTACAATTAGTTTTGTTTTAGTGTTTTTCATACGATCTTGAAGTTATACTGGTTTAGAATGCCTTATTTTTTGAATAAAGTACGGTAAAATTTGAAAAAGTATTTTTCATTATTCAAAAAAAAATTGTCTTATTTATATAATAACTCTGAAACTATGAAAGATACGTAAAAAATGATAGTCAACAAAAATGTAGCTTTTTTTCAACAAATATTTTGCTTTTTTTATTCCTATAGCATGAAAAATAAAGTGAATTAGTGAAAAAACGATCTGTCTCGAGCCCTTCGACCCTTTCCCTTTAAAAAACGAAGGACTTACAAGGTTTTATATGCAAACGATCTTACAGCCCTGGAAATTATCTTTAAAATGCTTTTTTGTGATATACTAAGTATAGCTTGAAAATGGCAAAAGTAAAATATTCTTTCATAAACAATATAAGGGAATTTTTATTTTAAATTACTGCACAATTATAGCCAAATCTTTAAAAAGTAATTTTTTATCATTATTCTTTTCATAGTTAAAGGTTAAATAAAGGGTCGAAAAGATCAAATACTTATATCATAAAACATGTTCGAGAACATGGACCATTATTTAATCTTTGTGCTAGAACAAGCTTTTTATCAACAAAATGCTTAAAACTTCATTTTTTCAATTTTTTTTCACTTAGGGGTAGTTTTTACCCCTAAAAAACAAAAAGCGTCAATCGTACTTATGTAACTTTTGAACTTGAGATGAGCCTCATTCTAAATTTTCATGCAAATCCATGCAGTTTCAAAGAATTCGGAGGTTACAGCTGATTTTCAGCTTCAATGACTCTACTAATAGAGTGAAAATTTCGCGCATTCGGGTGTGGACAGTTTAAAGATCCACAAGTTCCCACTAATTTGCTAATAAATGATGGAAAATAAATTAACAAACTATTATAACGGTAATGTGTAATTGTAAACTTACAAGGAAAATTACTAATACAGATTATATCAGCACAACTTTTTTATTAGCCGATTTCCCTCAGTGAAAGCTTGTTTCCTCAAATTTTCGTATTGGCGTCACATCGACATAATTTTGGCATTGTTACTCACGAAATTGCTACTTTTAAATTAAACCATTTATTGCGATGTGTATCTTGTTATTTAATTAGTATTAACCCAGCTGAACAAAATTTCATTCAACTACATTTTTAACCCCCAATGTAGGTATATTTGCATTTTATTAGCGCGCTTTATCACGTATATCCCCGGCATTTAATAAATGAATATTAAATATTCATTTTAACCCCTACATTTTATCCTCAACAGCAGCGAATTCGAAATAAATTTACGAGAGCAATTAGAAAGTTTGTTTACTCTCCCCTCCCCTGCATTATTATGCAATTTCGAATTAATATGACATTATCGTTTCCCCAGCAGGGGTCGATTCAGTTAGCGAGTAATTTTACAAAATTAGTTCCTAAATAATAAATTGCCCCCAGCTCCGTCGATGGCACGGCTCCGAAACGCGGAACGACCTTTGACATTTCGATAGAAGTCGAGATGGAGTTGCACGCACCGTGTCGGGATGAAGTCGGCAGGTCCATTATAGAACGCTTTCGGAGCGACGCGACGAGTAGAAATTGAAGATTCACGGTTTCAGGTGGAATCATTAAAATGCCTTCGATTTAATCCCCCTGACAGCGTTGAGAGTATTTATTTTTTATAAAAAGGTGTAGATATAACGACAAAGGACATATTGCACTAAAACGGGCTTATTTAGCATTTTTTTTCATTCATATTCAGAAAGTATACATCGTAGTAAGTGGTACAAAAAACCAGAATTTTTTTTTTCAACAATCTTTTCTTCAGTATAACACAGCCTCACAGAAAAACACATGAGTACATACATCTTGCGTATTTTTTGATTCTGAATCCGAATCCGCAGCTCGAAAACCGTTACCAGGTTGTTTTTTTCGTAAAACCCTAAAACATCCCCTAAAATAGAGTGAAATAGTAAGCTTAATAATGAAAAGCAACAGTTTGTAAATGGTACATACATTGAGAAAACATTTTAAAATAATATTTTGAACATTGGGATTATTATTATATTTTTGTTTAGTAACTCTGCCCCGTAAATAAAAAGTGATAGATCCGAAAAACAAGACCAGGTTGGTATTCAAATATATTTTTTCTTGAATTTTGTTACCGAGTGTTCTTGAGGTCGCTGATTACGAATCTGAAGTCCGAATCCGAAAATTCCTGAATAAAAATGGCGGATCCAAAATAGCGGATTAACAACTGGAAAAGTATTCAAAATTTGAAAAATTTGGCTGAAACTTGTTGACAGTTTTCAGTCTCCAATCACGAATATGAGGTTTTAATTCGGAAATCTCCAAAATGGTGGAGCCATTATGGGATATTGAAAGGTACCATAGTAACTGGTATTTACCACCCATTATGATTGTTTAAAATTTAGTTATTTGAGTAAATACAAATTTCTCTTTCAAATACTCTTTTTACAATGCTCTTTCTTAACCTTAGGTAGGAATCTTTAACCTATCCATGTTGTTCTCAGGCTCACCTCTGTGGGGGCAAGTCGTAATGAACAACCAGCTCTCCTCACACTGATATTGATTTCGATTCTTGTTGTTGGTTTTTACTTGTGACTGCTACAAAGGAAATTGCTCCTCAGAAAATTGTCAAAGTTAAAAACCCATGGTATTTTAAAAAACCACGCGAACTGAGAAAGCATTGAAACTATTATTTATTTGAACTCTTTGTTTTTGAAATGCAGTGTGTCCCAGAATATGTGGGCAATCTTTCGGATTCATACAGAGGACGATAAAATAACATCACAAGTCCCTATAAAAATTTTCCCTAGAGGGCTCCCCTACCGAGATACAGACTCTAAAAGACGCCCCGGAAAATCGATTTTTTTAAATAACTTTTAAAATAGTTCGTGTAATTTAATTATTTTTTAATACGATCGACAACAGATAAAACTCCTTAAAAATTGACCAATGAAGACAATTTGGTTTATTTGGTTTACCAGGGACGGACCAGTGTAGCACAATAATGTTAATTCTACACCCTTTATGATAAAATCACAAAAATAATATTTTTAGATAGCTTGAACATTAAACTAAAGGTTTACTCTTGGTTGATATCGATAAAATGAACTATTTTCGAGAAAAAACTATTTTTGTTTAATATGATTTTTATTACATCCATAAAGAGAATTAAATCGATCAAATTTGCATTCTTTCTGTGATTATCTAAAAAATGCATTTGTTTCCTAAAAATAATTAAATTACAAAAATTAAGTTATTCCTGGATGAATCCGAGAGGTTGCCCACATTTTCTGGGACACCCTGTATAAGATGTTAAAATAAAGTTTGCATAAACGATTTTTATTACTTAATTCCGTTATTTTCTTACATACCGAGTTGAAATTTTGGACAATTTTATATCGAAAATCGAAGCGTAATAGAATGACTGGCGGTTGTAGTGTCAACAGACATCTCTTTTTTCATACATACGCCTATGGTTGTGAGGTATCGTTGCTTAGATAAAGTGATTAATTTCTTAATTTTTTTCTCTTTTTAATTGTGTCGTATTAATCCTAGTTCTGTTGATTAAATTTTTCATGTGCTATTTAGCGATGTTTAAAAGCAAACCTTCAATCGAGTTTGTTTCAGCATTACTATATAAAGTTAAATTTGCACTGAATTGCATTATTTTTTAAAAAATATGTCTCAATCAAAGGCGTACATAAGAACAAATTCTAATGGGGTACCACCCATTTCCCCAGCTTGTGCTTCAGTTTTTTTACAAAAATTGTTCAAAAGTATTGTAATAAAACATTATAAATGTATGTAAAATTCTAACTCAGTAGAAAACGATGGAGTTATTAACGCTCTATATCTCGAAAACATGGCGCCCAAATCAAAAGTGATAACATTTTCGAGTAAATTTCATAATATCAATCACATATGCTTAAATAACAGACGTTTCGAAAACTGTGTTATTATTATTATTAATATAAAAATAGGCGTACATAATAAAAACTATAGATCCACTATAATTCCTTAAAAAATTCGTGTAAAAATCGTGTATCGTTAAACATTACAGTGTAGTTCCTGTTTTATATTTTTCCTGTTGCATTTCACACTAATCAATCATGCTTGCTCCATGTGGTTTACTTTCTAATTATACCTTTAATTAACGTTTTTTCTGTAGACTGACTGCTTTTTATTTTGAATGCGTAACGCCAAAGTAATGTCCCATTCTATGTGTAAAAGTAGGTTAAATTGGTATTATCTACTGACTAAATTTGGAATATTGCTGCATGACAAAATCCATTTCCGTGACATATCAAGTACCGTTTGACTTTAAATTCATTATATGACATGCAATTGTTGAATATATCTAATGGATTTTGTTATACGTTATGGTGAAATTATATGGTTTAGTTATAAACTGTAAAATGTTTTTTGTAACACAGATTTACAAACTGAAAATTCAATAAATAGTGAGTTAGACACATTATTTTCAATAGTTTATACCAGAAAAATTCTTGTCTTAAAATCACTTAACTTTTATTCCTTTACGATCTTCTTTTGTTATCTATTTCGGAAACACTTCTCGAGATCTGATCTGATGAAACTACGTGCGATTTTTTTTTGACAAATTACAGAACTTATCATATACATTTTTAACAAGTAACACTATTTCCTCATTCACACTGTTTATTGAAATCCGTTATTTCAGTTCTTTGTCTTCTGCGTTCTATTTCCTAACCTGAAAATTGTAAAAGACTGTTTTAGATGACAGCAAAAACACTCAGAGGGACGTTATTTTTGGCAGTGCTTGTTGCGACCGTGTACAGTGCAGTGCAAAGTTCATGTGCAGTGCAATGTGCAGTGTTGTGTCTTGTGAACAGTGCATGCAAGTTTTATGCGTTGAAGAGTCACTCAAACTCATTCCATTCCCTGGATTCCAGATGCACGGATCGGCGGGTCTCCACTCCGCCATGGCCATCAAACGCCAGAGGCGTATCCGGGAGCAAGCCAAGAGGAGGGCGGCTGAAAGACGTCTTTCCTCCAGAACCAACAGTATGGACAGCATGGAACACCTTCCCACCCACACCACCAACCACAACGCTCCTCGGGACCATACCCTGGCCACGTCCATCGGCATGCTGCACCTGGGTGTCTGCTTCACGGCCCTGGGTGTCTTCCTCATAGGCTCTGGTCTTCTCCCTGATGATTTAGTCACCTGGAGGAGCGGAGGATGGTGGAACGAGATGGTACTGACGGGGATCTTCGTCACCGTCTTCGGACTGTTCTTCATCATCCTCAACAAAATCGTTAGTAGAAGAGAAGAGGTCGAGCTTGAAGATTATGTAGCTAGGCAACTTACCAGGTCCAGGAGCGGACATAGATTGGAAAGGGACGTGGAAACTGGATGCCTGGCGACCAAGAACCACAGAAAACAGCTGGAGAAGCAACGGGAGGATAAACAAAAAGTTTTGACTGAGTTAGTACCAACCCATTCGCCCCACTCCAAGACAGCGCCGCAAAACATCATCAATGGTGATGCTTACTTGGAAAAAATTCTAGAAGAAGAGGTCTTTGAGAGAGACGGGGAAGAACTGCGGCACCTAGAGCTCAGAGAAACGATATCCAACACTACGACGGCCAGTTTGAGCCCGGGTACACCTTCAGAGACCAGGGAGCTATTGGTGAACGGAAGGCAATACAGTTTTAACTCAAGGCAGTATTAGAGGGAGGTTGGCTGTACAAAATTTAACTGACCATTGTTTTTTGTGATGATTTTAGGATTAAGTAAGGTAGATATTTGTGTAGCTCAATTTTAGCTTTTTTAAATTTATACCAAGGGGCTTAACGAAAAAGTCGAAAGATGGTACACAGAGTGTTTGAGGATTCCAAGCACCACTATCAATTTAGGTCATTGAAGTAAGATGATTTTATTGTACTATAGAGATGTTTTTAATATTTGTTAATCGATTCAAAAATTAATTTTTTGATAAATTTGGTTAGATCATTTTAAAATTGTTTTTAAGAGAATCTCTCTGCATATTATTGTAAAATGTTTGAGTTATTATTTGTCTAAAATTATTTTGAACCAATAATACTGGAAGTTTATTTTGAAAATACAAATAAAACAGTTGTGAATTGATGTTCAATTCTATATCATATACAGGGTATTTAAAAGAAAGGTGCCGTAAATTCAAACATAAAATAAGACGATCGATTCCTATGAAGCATTTATTGTTTTAAGATACAACAAACAATGTTACACTGAAATTTAATGCAATAGAGTTTTCGGCGAAGTCTGGATATAATTTTTTCCAACAACAGGATATGGCTGCTCGAGGTTAAGTTTTCTATGACTGCACAAAAAGATACTAATACTAAAATTGCTAAAAGATTTCCTCGAAAAGTACAACTATCTATACCTTTCTCTAGGTAAACATTGCTTGTATATTAACTGTAATCTGTAAAAAATGAATATAAAATTTATATGCAGGGTAGCCCAATGTGTTGTTAACAAACATTAGGTACAATTACAGAGTGCTGAATAGTTACAAAATGTTTAGGTACATTAAATAATAATGTCAAGAAGAGCAAAATATTACACTAAGACTGAAACCAAGTTAAGAAAAGTAAGAATGCAAGGAATTTTACGACTCTACAGATTACGAATATGTATGAGACTAAAATCTATTAGTATATTTGGAAATGTGATTAATGTTTGCTTACAAATTTTGATAATCATTAGGAATGATACAGATCTGAATAGATTCAAGTCAACAGCACATAAGATATAATGAGATTGAGAATAACAAGTGTTAGTTTCATTGATAAATAAAGAGCAAAATAAAGGGCCCAACTGACACCCTTGTGATACACCTGATGCTATTTTGATCCAACTTAAAGCTGAATTAGATTAGATATATATGATGTTTTCAGCCTTAAGAGATTGCCATGCACACCGATATTTTCCAGTTTATTAAACAAAGTAGGATGATGCATTTTGTCAAAAGCTTTAGAAGTGGATACAACATGTACTTCAAATATATCATCCATACTTGGTGAAGTAAACTGAATATATGGTACAAGGTTAGTGAGAACAAATCGGTCTCGGAAAAAAACATGGTATTCTTCTAACTAAAAAAGAGTTGTTAGAACTATAATTCTCAGTTTGATAGAAGCAGTTTTTTCATATTATTAATATAGTCTTATTTTCCTTTGAAACTAATTCTCATATGAAAAAAAAAACTAAAAGATATTTTTTATAATCAGTACCTACCTACTGAAATAAAAAAAAAATTAAAGAGGAAGAACAGTAGGGTGGAAATATTTTTAAAGATGTATCCGGTTAAAAATGTTATTGAGACTTTTAGGTGATAACAATTTAATGCAGGCATAATTAACTAATCCACGTTTATTAGGTACATTTAAAAAAATAATAATTCATGCATTTTTTTCATAGACTGATTAGAGAAACCAAGTGTTTTCATATATTAGATTATTTAGGGAACATCATATGTTGGTGGATTTTGGGAAGGTCAAATGTGTTTTCCCCAAAAGCTGAATATTTTTAGTAATTTCAAGAAGGGTATGCCTTTTTCGCGTTAAATTAAATGTTACGTTATATTAGTAAAAAAACTAAATTTTACATTATATGTTAATGCCATTGAAGAAAATTTAACCTCAAAAATGTTATATTCTAAAATGCTGCTGAAGCAGATAGTACCTAACCTCTATTCTAACTTCACTTGTCCTAAATTTCAGTGTAGTTTCTTGAAAAGGTTGTGGTTTTGATTAAAAAAATCGTCTTTGTCGCCCTATACCTATGTCAAAAACAGAAGAATTTATGACATATTTTTTCAAATCGCCCCATATATCCTAATTCTACTACTGTCCACGTAACCCGTCTATATTATCAATAATCTGTATCATATACCTACCAAAGTTTTAGGAAATGATCTTGCGCTTTCAATGAAATCTGTTAAAAACAATTGACTGTTGTGTTTCGAAGATATAAACCAAACTACTGTTACTTTTTTTTATGGAACACTGTCTATTTGTTGTTTTTTTTAATTTATCTTTTATCTCTCTTTTCCATTACAATGATACATATATGTCATTGTTTATACAATATTTTGGATTATTTACTGACCCTGCTCATAGGATATAGGATATTCCATTTTAGGTCATACACTGTAAACAAATTTAAATATTTTTACACATTTTTCATAATATTTGAGCTAAAACTGATTGTACTCAAATTAATAGAGGAAAATTTTACTCAATCGGATGTGGACAAGAATTGATACATTATTGAAATTGAGAGAAAATAAGTCCAATTTTTCTTACAGTGTATCTTCAAAATGTAAGAGTCAATTATTTACTATTTCATTGAAATCGCAAGAAAGTTTCCTGAAACTTTGGCCTTTACCACTTTCCCTAGATTGATAGAAAAGGGACGGTAAAATGTATTGTTGTTAAATTTGACAACGTGACACCATATTTATGTAAATATCCTTTTTTGTGTATAATGGAATCCAGTGAATGGAAAACATTTTCATGTACTTTCAATAAACTCTGTCGATACTCATAGACACAATCCTGTGAAAAATATCAGTCAGAGCAGACCATCAATCAAACACTCTATTTACCGTCGACGTTCCCTTGTTTTTCTTTTGCCTCGCTGGCGACATAACGCGCATAAAGCTTCACAAGCTCGTAAACTAGATGAAAAATACAAAAAAATCTATTATCGCTAAGTAATAAAATGGAACATTAGGGACTTTGATTCTGAGCAATGTGTTAAGATAAAGGCGGGAAGAGAACAAATTGCGTCTCGGTCCGCGAGGACCCAGATGGTGGACAGATAACACGGAAAGGGTGATTTCAGCACAGTTTCTCACGCTGGAATTGGGTTAATGGTATATTTATGTGGTATTATTTTTGACATATTTAACACGATGTTAGACCTAAATTATAGATATTTAAATAGAAAATAATCAATACGCCAACCCAATACTATAATAAACTAGAAAATTACAAAACACTATAAAACACTGTCAAAACAAACGCAAGATTTCCTTCGGGACCCTTTGGTATACCGACTTCTTTTAAGAAAATTCTGTATCACGCTTTCGCATACCTGCAGCTGAATTTCGTTGACAACTCTCCTCATTTCTGGAATGATATTCATTTAAGCAGAATAAACTTTCCACTTTACGAATCACCACAGGAAAAAACGCATGACGTAAGATCGCATGGTCTTAGTGGCCAAGTCACTTCATTGTTACGTGAGATGAGTCCTCCATTAAATTTCACGTGCTGTATGAGATGTGGGACCATCCTGCTGGAACCACATGTCATCCAAATCCATGCCATCCAAATGATACCACAAAAAATTCAATAGCATCTCTCGATATCGTTCTCTATTGACAGTCCTACGTTTCCAGCCTCATTTTACAGTCCAGAACGGACCAATCAACCCACCAGCGTAAAATTCACACCACACTGTCACTCTTTGGGTGTACAGTGGTCGTTTTTGAATGACCCGAGGATTGTCTCTCACCGTCCAGTTGTTGATTCTCCGCCATCCTATCAATGAATATCCGGCGTATTAAATGGTCGTCAGGATTCAGTTCTTGAGTTAGCTGAATCTTGAATGGATGCAGATGCAGATCTTTGGTTAAAATCCGCTGCATTGTGCATTTTGAAAGTACTAGGGCCGGCCAGTTTTATTAAAATTCCACGGAATTTGCGCACAATCTCAGCTACACAAATTTTTCACGCTTTTCATAATAAAAATACTGAAATCGGTTCGCTTAGCACACAACGTCACGTGGAGAGTGATTTTCGGATTATTACAATAATTGCAAACCTCTCAGAATTATCATTATTATTCGGTAAATCTTGCGTAGCTTTTTCATATTTTTTCCTAGATTCTGACGTATTATTTGACGAAAAATTGGCCAGGTACAACAACTGTTTTATCAATCCAGGAATTTTTGGCGTTTATGTCAGTTACAACCCAAATTTTTTTAAGTGTTTTCGTTATTTGGAAAATGGAAAATACCCTTATTAAAGAATTTGCATTGATTATCTTTTCTTTTCTTTTAATTGAACTGCTTGTCTCCATGTCAAATTCATAATAATTATAATTTTTAAAACTTCTCGAAAATATTTATATACATATTTGTATGTATAAACAAAATAAATTTTTGACCTTTTTTGGCTATTTTTAATGTAATATTACATTTTAAAGAGTAAGGGACTATCCCACTTTTTTTAGTTCTTGATAATGGAGTTTTCATAAAAAATGTTGGTGTCACAACATTTTATTTTATTAATATCTTTTTTTGAATAAAATATATCAAATACAATAAAAAAAGAAATAAAATTAAATGGTTAATGCTGTTTCTAGAGGTTTATTGAATAATATGCAGTAGCGTATCTTAATAATTTTTTCGTCACATCTCCCGTACCAAACCCCATGTTACTGTAGTTCTGAGGGAAAACAGATGAGACGATATCTTGTATGCTGTAAAATGCGACGCTCAGTTGCGTTTCTTTTTAAAGAGAAATGAAATTATTTAGTGAATAAAGCATTTTTACAAGCTTTTATTTAACTCGAGCTGAAATTTTGCAAACGCTTTAGCTTGGATGACAATGCATGGTTAGCTAAGTGACGTCATTTTAAATCCAATATGGCGGACTCCCAAAGATGGCGGACCAG